GTAATGTATCGTAGACTTGGTTGATCTTAAAATGCTCGTCAACACTTACGTCTGTGTTTTGTATAAAAAAGGAGGAATTTCAACACGTATGGATTTACGGTAAAAAAAAAAAAAAAAAATAAAACGCGGCTCGCAGTCTCTCGTTGTGCACTTGGGAGCTTCCCGCGGGTCCATTAATGCAGTTCCTGTACCGCCAGCGTCAAGGGACTTTCTTTATACTCGATTAAGGAGTTTTCGGAGCCGGGCGTACAGGTTTGGAACTTGTGAACGGATCTAAGGGCTAAATTGGACGAGGGGTATGAGTGTTTATTTTTTGGGGAAAAGCTGTACATGTAAATACGACACGTCTCCTAGTAAATTTTGAGTAAGCCCCGTGATTCTCGAGTGAAAAATCAACCAGAAAAATGGCATTACGTATGATGATTTTGCGAATTTCCCACTCAAAAACTGTAAATACTGGAAAAAAAAAAAAAAGAAAAAAACTTCTGATCACCAAGTAAATATTCATTAGAATAGTTCGATGTAAATTTATTAAAAATACTAAGAAAATACTTATGCACCGTACAACAAAATAATAGTATATCTTGTCGAAAAAAAAAATAGTTACTTGATTCAAAGAAAATTTTTGTTTTCTTCCAGTGAGTTGTCTCCATGCTCGAGTAACAGTGATGGCACCATGTGAATAAATAACCAAGCAGGTATAGATATATGTGTGCTGAACGTGGTACGAAAAAAAGAGCATCACGTTAAAAGGTATAGGGGGAAAAAAAAAAAAGTAGTACTTATGTGTATATTCTTGCAAAAAAGTTGCGAGTCGCTGGCAAGGGTTTTCGCGATGGAGATAAGTATAAGTAGGCACAAAAGAAGAAGTCTGCAAGTTAAAAAGCATATGGCCAACCGAACGAAATGTATGTATACGAGGGAAGGAAGGAAAAAGGAGAAAATTATTGTGGAAGAGAGCGCCGGCCATATCGTCGTCGGGTTCGTGAGAGTCGTGATTCGCGGGTGGCGAGGAGATGAGCGTCGGTAGGAGGGTGGCGCCAGCCAATGGCTTGCCTCTGTTTGCCGCGAGCCGACGTATGGGGAGTAAAGAGGAGGCGCCCACCGCTCGTACACGGACGCTCGCTACCATCAGGACTTCTTCTTCCTCAAGTACTTGTATATAATATATTACCTGCGAATTGTCCTTTGCTTTTGTACCATAGCGAGTTTGCCACAATTTTTTTTTTTTTTTTTTTTTCGTTCAAACTTTCTCGATGGCGATGGAAAATCTTTTCTTTTTTTCATGTTTTCATACGCATTTTTAGTAAATCTGCGTCTCTGCCTGTATCCGCCAACAATGTGTTTTATAGTTTTGTATAGCATAGACAATTCGTTGCTCTGTTTGACAACATGTACCAAAGTGCTGTAGGATAACAATCGGCATTCGAAGTATGTGCGTTAAATCAGTTTACGCGTGATTTTTTGCAAGTTTGCAATTCAAAAAATAAATAAAAGAAAGGTAAAGAAAAAAAAAGAAAAATAATATAATAAATCATGATGGACGTTGTTACTTTATATGTACAGCATTGCGTGCAGAGGCAAAATAAAAGCTCGTACATGTAATACAGGGGGAACATTTTTTTTTTTTTTTTTTCTTTTTTTTTGACATGGATTTACATAAACTTTCTATAGATTACAACAAAGGGATGTGAATCGTGATGTTTTATGATACGTTGGTAAATATACATGCAGATGAGGAAATCATGAGATGTGTGGTAGAATATGGATTGGCTAGCCTCGTTTTCAATTTTCACCCGAAAAAAACTTTGACATTTTCGACGGAATCCTCTTTACAGATTTGTCGTTTATTCAATACACGTTTATGTATAGTATTACTGCGTTTTCAAGACAAGGAAGCAGATATAAAAAAAAAAAAAAAATTGAGAATTTCATGTTTTAGTGATGGGTGCACAAATAGTCGTGAAATATTCATGTTTATCCAGAAAAAAATTTTAACAAAAAGCGCCCAGCCTGTATGAATTAGCAATGTCATTTTTTAACTGTATATTTCTCGGTGGTGAGATTAAAATTACTTAAGCTTTTCAAAAAGCCAATCGATACGGTCGGAAATACCTACGAAATAAAGCTCATTCGTCACAAAAAGTGAAAAATACACCCAAAAAAAAAAAAAAAAGCACTCACGAGATCCACTGGTAGATGGCCGACACGGTGAGTTCACCGCGCTCCTGCAGCGCGTGCTCTATCAGCTCGGTGTAGGTGAAGGGCGGCTTCTTCGGACCCGTGGCCGGAAGGTTCCTGTGGTCCGCCGTCGCACCACCGGGACACGGCACACTAGGCGGGTGCGCCCCATCGCACACTGTCGTCGTCGTCGTCGCCGTCGACACCGCCTCGTTATTGTTGCACGATTTTTGCACCACCGCCGGCTCCGGGGCTCCTGGTTTGCCGTTGAATTTTGTTCTGTTGGCGCCTGAAAATCAGTTCAGTGGCACAATATTATACAGGTACACTTTGACCCACCAAATGTTTAGCATTAACGGGGTACGCTCGTGCGAGTGCCCACTGGAGCGTTAAATTCGCACTGGTACATACATAAACACACAGCATATAAAGAGTACCCTGCGCCATATGGTGGGTACACTTAGATCCAAATGCTTTTACCCGGAAACTATGATACTTTTACGGCCATAGCGTCCGGCAACCGTGTCGTATCAATTAACATATAATTACCGATGAAAAACGAGCAAGCCGATCGTTTGAGGTATGGGAGAAAAAGAAAGAAAAAAAAGAGAGAATACACACCCTGAAAGTCCCTGGTGAGCGAAACAGTCGACTTGTCCTCGGGTGCCTCGATGAACGAGTCGAGCTTAAAGTCCAGGAGCCACGAGAGATTGCCGTTCTCCTGGTCCTCGTACGAGTTGAGCTGCGTCGCCGTAGCCACGAAGCCACCACCACCACCACCACCACTACTGTTACCCCGGTGATTCTTTCCAGCGTCCGGGCTTGGGTGGTGGTGATGATTATGATGATTTTGGTGCAATTTAGGCATGACGTGGCGATGCTGCCGGAGCAGGCTGGTCCCGCTCTGCTGGTGGTGATGATGGGCCACCGGTGGCTGATTCTCGCCCCAGTAGTCCGTGGTGCTGTGCTCGATACCGTAGCTCACGGCCTCGAGGCTGGGAATACCGGCTTCGTGGTGCTGGGGAGCTTGCAAGCTCGGGTCCGTCGGTGCGCCGGTGCTGCAGAGCTGCGTTGGCGCCGGAACTGCGGATGTACATTGACAAGCGTTTCTTTCTTTCTATCTTTTTTTCTTTTCCCCCCCCCCTCCCCCAACACACACACAGATTGAGCTTTTATTTTTGTTTAACCATGACTGTGTTGCATCCGAGCGAGTGTAGCCGTTTAACCTAAAAAAAAAAAAAAAAAAAGAAAACAGAGGCAAGCTCGCGCGCGACAATATTTTTCTCATTAGCTTACCGAGCACTATCGTTGTTGCGACAATTGAGAATATACGTTGTGTTGTCAGATGATTGTCGTTTCACGACTATTTTGGACAGGAGTAGGTACAGAGGATTGTTGGGTGAAATTTGAGGTATTGGTAACGCAACAGTGCGGACTTTTGGGGGAACAAAAAAAAAAAAAAGAAAAAAAAAAACTGCCGGCCGAGAGTGCTATTGCGATTTTTTTGTTTTTCCCCCCTAGAAAGCGTGAATGCCAGAGACAATCGATTCTCGATGAAAGCTGCATAACTTCGGTAGTGTTTAACGATACTTGATGTGGTCGTTGCAAATCACGCGTAAAACTTATTTTACCGCCAATTCGCGATATTTTCATATTTTGACCATTTCTATGAAAACGAAAAATGAATCGGTGCGATCTCGCGTAGTTTAGTGTAAATGTAAGTGCCCCTGCGTGTGAGTGAAAAAAAAAAATAATAAATAAATAAATAAAGAGTCATTCGAAGGTCGACCAAGCTCGTAGTGACAAAAAAATCGGTATCGTTCGTTTGATTTACTCGAAACCAAATTGCATATCCAATGGGCATTAAATATATATACATTTTTTTTTTTTTTAATTTTCATAAGACGCACTCATAAGAAATTGTTGTTTTTTTTGTCTCTCCAAAAACCATTGACGCAAAAAATGCGGCAGATCATGCCTCTCTCTACCCTTTGTTTTATTCATATTTCAATTGAAACTCTTTTTTTTATAAACTCATTGCTGCCGTGATATATACGTGACGCTCGTGGGTGCAAAAAAAAAAAAAAAAAAAAAAAAAAAAAAAAAAAAAAAAAAAGTGTACTCGACTCACCGGCCTCGAAGCTGTCGAGCGCGTCATCCCAGGTGCCATCGACAACGAGGACCTCCAACTTGGCCACAGGAGCCTCGGAGTACTCCCCAAGGATCTGTTGGAGTTGTTCCTGGTGGTGCAACTCCGGGGAGTCGAAGTAAGGGGCGAAAACCTCGTCGGCGCAGGGTAGCCCGAGCACCTCGTGATGATCGAGCAATTGGAAATCGGGGAGCAACCGGGGCCGTTTGTTGGGAGCCGCGGTGCTGGTGGTCTGGGATCTCTGTTGGTTGTGATGGTGGTGTCCGCACACCTCGTCGCAGATACTCTCGATGTCGAGCTCGTCGAGGAGGGCTCGATGCCGGGGATGCTGGCCACCGGTGGAGCTCGAGCCCGACGACGATGGACCGATCATCTTGTTTTTTTTTTTTTTCCCCCGCTTACACCCAACCTTGTACACCTGCGTGGGTCTACGGGAACGAAGGACTCTCTGGACGCTCGGCGCGACCCTTGCGTGTTCCTGTACTTGTGTGTGTGTCTATACCTGCGCCTGCACGGCTATCGATTTTGCGCGCCGGCGAAGCCGCTCTTCTCTGCCCCAAGGAGCATTTGAGTCTCTCGAGCTTGCGGAGGACCGTTATATCCCTCTCTCTCTCTCTCTATGTACTTTTTGTGTGACAATTCGTCGATTACTTCCAGCCGATCAGTCCATACTGCACCATATGTATTGCGTCTACGAGAAATCCTTCTTTTTTTTTTCCCTTCCAAAAGTCCTGCAGTCGAGTTGAAGCGACAATTGTCCCACTGGTCGTTACAACGATATTGTCCTTGCTGATTCACCGAGGCACTCGGTAAGCCGCATTTTTTCTTTTCTTTTCTTTTTTCAAAGATGGTCCTTTCTTGTACGATTACCTCACGACGTGCGTGTAGTATCACGGATGGCTCACTCAATGCGATTTTTCGACAGCGTTGTATATATTGGCCTGTGTATATGTATATTGCACGAACCCGACGTCACAGCGATCTTTCCGAATTGCACTTTTTTTCCTTCCTCGACTCTCGTTGGGCAATACGATTGAAACCGATAAACTTTAAAAAAAAAGTTAAACGCATAAAAAACCATCCCTACTCGTGCATTTGATTGGACGGATGAAAAAAAAAAATGAAAAGGAGGCACTATAGCCCGTATATACGTAAACGTGCCCAAGAGGGGACGCGCTGCGTGTCTGGCCCTCCTGCGGACGGGGTTGACTCCTTTGACCCGCGACTGCTCTGCCGCCCTTTCATCATTTCACAACACACGTTTTTTGTTAAACGCTGGCAACATGAGCGTATAATGTCAGGGGTGCGCGCGCACATACAGCCGATTCGCCCTCCTTTTGTTACCCCCGTTTATCCTGAGGCCTGGGGGGGGTTGTTGCACAAGTATGTATGAGTTGAGCTGCGTCGCCGTAGCCACGAAGCCACCACCACCACCACCACCACTACTGTTACCCCGGTGATTCTTTCCAGCGTCCGGGCTTGGGTGGTGGTGATGATTATGATGATTTTGGTGCAATTTAGGCATGACGTGGCGATGCTGCCGGAGCAGGCTGGTCCCGCTCTGCTGGTGGTGATGATGGGCCACCGGTGGCTGATTCTCGCCCCAGTAGTCCGTGGTGCTGTGCTCGATACCGTAGCTCACGGCCTCGAGGCTGGGAATACCGGCTTCGTGGTGCTGGGGAGCTTGCAAGCTCGGGTCCGTCGGTGCGCCGGTGCTGCAGAGCTGCGTTGGCGCCGGAACTGCGGATGTACATTGACAAGCGTTTCTTTCTTTCTATCTTTTTTTCTTTTCCCCCCCCCCTCCCCCAACACACACACAGATTGAGCTTTTATTTTTGTTTAACCATGACTGTGTTGCATCCGAGCGAGTGTAGCCGTTTAACCTAAAAAAAAAAAAAAAAAAAAAAAAAAAAAAAAAAAAAAAAAAAAAAAAAAA